CCGCGTCCTGGGTTCAGGCAATTCTCCTGCCTCAGCCTCCTGAGTAGCTGGGATTACAGGCATGTGCCACCATGCCCAGCTGATTTTTTGTATTTTTAGTAGAGACGGGGTTTCACCATGTGGACCAGGATGGTCTCGATCTCTTGACCTTGTGATCCACCCGCCTTGGCCTCCCAAAGTGCTGGGATTACAGGCGTGAGCCACCGCGCCCGGCCTCACATTTTTATTTTTAAGATGCTCCTTTACCTCCTTCCTTCCAAGGCAATAACATACAACCCCACAATTGGAAGGGCTGTCGTGAGCAGTGAGACCTGGCAAAGGCAGGAAGGCCCCAACCATCCAGGCAGGCCCTTGACTTGCACACACACTGCTCCAGAGAGGCAGAAGGCAGGGCTCCCAACCCTCTTCTATCCCTGGTAGCCTCAAAGACTTGAAGAATCCCTCACCCAGCTGACTTGTAGACATTTAAGCCTCCAGAAGGCAAGACCTGGTCCCACAGATTCCAAGTCCTGACAGCAAAGTAGCCCTTCTCATACTCACATGACTTTTAAGTCCCAGTCTCCACAGGTGACAAAAATTGACTTGACGTTTGGATCTAAGAGGCCTTCCTTCGCCATCCACTCATCGACCCTCTGAAAAGTACACAAGAACAGATGAGATTTTCCTTTTTTTTCCCTAAGCCTGTGAAGAGCCACAACAGTGAAACGCAAATAAGCTGCGTGTAATCAGAGCAGGAAAAAATTGTAATCTTAATCCGCCATGGCCCCACTGTGGGCTCTCAGTCTTGGTCAGAACCACAGAAGCACTTGGAAGAGAACCCCTTCAGGAAGATCCCACAGCCTAAGTGTGTAGCAGGAGGGAGCCCCTACACTTGCCTATTGCCTGGCAGCCTGCCCCAGATCCCAGCAGGTCAGTCCAAATACCTTGCTCTGACCTGGCTATACCTCTTATTGGTCCCCTGGCCTAGTACAGACAGGCTATTGTCCTGGGGCATGAGAACAGGCTAGAAGGAGGCCCCAGGCAGGGGCTCCCACCCACAGCTTCACTCATTCATTTATTCACTTTACCCTTCTACCAAATGTTTATTAACCAAACTTATGAATTTGCTTATTCACCAAAGGAAGGTGATGAACATTTTCACCTTCAGAAGAGGCCCCTTTACTGGGCTGGAGCCCCATCCTGACACCTGGGATAGTGCTGCCTGCTCCAGCTGCTAAAAGTTCAAAAACTGGCCCCCAACTTCATATTTCTCTTCTTCGTGGTTGAGGATTCAAATTTAGCAGGATATTTTAAGGCAGAGCTCAATTCCTACACAGGGAGAAAAACTGCTCCTAAACACTCTAAACTTTCTTTCCCTTCATCCCTTTGATCAGTTTTATTATTTGCGCTCACACTGGAAGTACAAATGCTAAAATCAGTATACAACAAGAGAAATATCATAAACAATTCAAGGCTGGGCGTGGTGGCTCAGGCCTATAATCCTAGGACTTTGGGAGGCCGAGGCAGGCAGATCACTTGAGGCCAGGAGTTTGAAACCAGCCTGGCCAACATGGCAAAACCCCATCTCTACTAAAAATACAAAAATTAGCTGGGTGTGGTGCTGTACACCTATAATCCCAGCTACTTGGGAGGCTGCGGCACAAGAATTGCTTGAGCCCAGGAGGTGGAGGTTGCAGTGAGCTGAGATCACACCATTGCACTCCAGCCTGGGTAACAGGGCGAGACTCTGTAAAAAACAAATAAATAATAAATAAAAAGAATTCATAAAGCATTGCCTATTTTTCAGAAGGTCCCAGGCACAGAAAGGTAGTGCAACAGATCACATCACTGCTTCTACCCATGCAAGAGGATTATTTTTTTAAGGCTATCTCACGTAGTCATTAAAAATGCAGGATTGGAAGCCAGATACATCTGGATTCCAACCCTTGGCTATTCCATATCCTGGCTGTGTCACTGATGGAGAGTTATTTAAAAGTCATGTAACCTCTGTGAACCTCAGTTTCCTTCATCTATAAAACTTTACACAGAGTTGTTCTGAGAATTAAATGTGATAATGTTTAAAGTACCTACCACAAAACAGGCAATAGGCTGAGAAGTGGAGAAAGGCAGATCATCATAATACAAGACGCAGCAATGGACCCATGACCACAGTGCTACAGGACCAAGAAGAGGAAGTGGCTAGCCCTACCTTTTACAGGGAAAGGAGTCAGAAAAGGCTTCACAAAGAAGATAGTTGAACTAGGAACCTGACATGGTGGAACACAGAAAAGGATACTACAGGCAGAGACAAAGGCACATGCACAATAATTTTGTATTTGAAGCAATTATCTGTTTAACATCTGGTTACTTGCGACCATAAGCACCATGAAAACTCTGTCTCACTCACTGCCTTAATCTCTCACCCAGCACAGGATCTACTGAAGAGATATTTGCTGACTGACTGAAAACATGAGTAGGTAAAAGTTTAGGGTGACTAAAGTCCACAGTATATAGAAAGGAAGGACAGAGACTGGAGGACTAGGTTAGCCAGACTGTGAAGGGCCTTGTGTGCTCAGCAGGTGATAGGGAGCCCATGGATATCTTTAAGTATCTTAAGTAAGATTACTTCTAGCAGGTGTAGGCTGGCTCCCTGGATACCTCTGAGATGCTAGAGGCCTGGCCCATGCTAAAGTCACCCCTGACTAAGGCCAAGGATCCTACCTAGTTCCATGGCTACATCAGTCCTACCAACCAGAATGTCAGAGCTGCTCCCTGGCGCCAGACTATGCAGACCATGTAGTCTCTAAACCCTCTTTATGGTCTGTATACCAGAGAATCCTCCTCAGCTAAAGAATCTTCCCAAAAGGTAAATTCTGGATCATCCACTGCTGAATGGTCCATCTCCTCAGTTGCTTTGGCCCAGCTCCTTGCATGTATGTGCACGCATGTGCATGCGTGCGCGCGCACGCACACACACACACACACACACACACACGTGTGCAGGAATCCCTTCCCCAGGGTCACCTAAGAAAAGAGGTAAGGTGACATCAGCATAACGTCTCCCCCAGCTCACTGCTTTATATCCCCAAGTTAAGTGCCCCACATACTAGAGGGGCTCCCCGGTGCCCTAACTCCTGTGAAAGAGAGAGTAAGACACAACAGGACTGTCAGGAGGCCACACTCAGCAAAACTGGGCTCTCATCACGAGAAGCACTCAACACTCACTAGGGTCCCTGGAAGCTTAGGACTTAGCAGCTATTTAGTGAGCATGTTTTACTATGAGCCCATCCAGGGAAGGGATATTACATTTTGAATCAGGCCTGTCCTTTACCTTGCCTTCTCTGCTTGAATGAATAAGGGTTGGAGGAACCACCAACACCTCAATCAGCTGGGCCAGCCATCCCAGTTACTGAAGCTCTAGTGGGGTCCAGGCTGAGCTCTACTTAGAACAAATCAATCAGGTAAACATCTAGCTGGCTGCCTGCTAAGGGCCTTGGTTGGGACAAGAAACAAGCTCTTTAGCTCTAGAACCAACTCAGGACTAATGAGATGAAGCAGAGCCTGGTCTGGTCTCCTAGTCCTTCCAGAAACTCTCTATTCAGACTGATACCCGGAATCTTCCCTCCTTACCAACAAAGTATGTAGAAGTAGCAGAAAGTAGCTTCCTGGGTGAGACTCAGAATTCTGTGAGTGCCCTGCTTCAGGGCTGGCCTAGGGTTAGCAGGGGGTTGCCTCCTGAAGACCTCATCTCCTCCTCAACTGGGGTCATTGAGAAAAAAACCCATAACCTCAATGGTCCTGGTTTGGTGCTGGCCCAGAGCAAGTATCTTCTTCCAGGATCGCAGCTACAGATGTTCCAGGAAAAAGCTGCCTGTCTTCAGGCATCCCTCAGGAGCCAGGCTCTGGCTGGGGATGATGGCTGGGACAGAAAAAAGAACGAGTTCCCTCTGTCTCTTTGAGCCTGGTTTATAGGGGGACAGTCCATGCTAAGGAGCTCCCTTGGTCACAGGAATGAGTCTCTTCAAAAAAAGGAGGTCAGTATGGCTGGAAAGCTTCTCAGAGCCCATATTCTCTTCTCCCAATCTACTACAGGTGACCAAACCTGACCCCCAAAACCAGACTGGTCACAAACCCTGGGTTTCCACACTCCCAGGAATAGGAAATACACTCTACCACTAAGGTGAGTCTAAACTTGCCTCTGTAACCCTGGCTCCTTCCTTGGAGGCCCCACAAAATTCAATCTGCATCTCTCTCCTCCGTGGGACAGGATCTCTTGGCTAAAGTCCCTGCCACTATGCTACTTCCTCTAGGCTGCACACCTCCAGTGCAGATGTGCCCTGCTATTCCTGCAGATACTCTGCTTTCTCCTATGCTTTGATAAGGTTTGAGCTTTGGCTTCATTGGTCTTAAAAATAAATAAAGAACCTAATGAGATCCACAGGCTTTTTCTCTTCTCCTCTCCCTCTATAAAGAAAGAAATGGGAGGGGGACCTTCTCCCCCTGTGAAAACCTCCAGGCCAGAGGAGGGTGGAAGACAAGCTAAGACCAAGCACTGCCCTTCCTTATTCCCTCGGGCCACAGCGCAAGAAATAGCATCTTAACCTTTTCTAGCTCCCCGAGGAGAACATCCTAGAAGTGTGGTCTCTGCCAAGGGTTTTAAAGTCTTTAATTTGATTTCCCTCACATAGGCAATTGTTGTAATTATTCTGATTAGGAATCATTACCCAGTGCAGCCTCTGCACCCGACAGGCACAATGCATCCAGCGGCAAGCTGCAGTGGGGCAGGCAGGCCCAGCCACAGCTCCTGGAGGAGCTCACAGCAAACAAAAGCCATCGATGGGGAGTTCTGGGTGAGTTAATGAAGTGCTTACATGCCACAAGAAGCCAACACTAAAGCTAAACAAAAACACCTCCAGTCCCTGAGGCGAGTCCCACCATGCCACAGCCCAGCTCCCCTACTCCCCAGCCCACCCAGTGCAGGCTACCCTAGAGCCAGCCAGCACAGGGCCATAGGCCAGGAAGGGGTGGGGGCCCCTCTGCCTGACTCCTGGCAGCACTGGGACATCTTGTCAGAAACCCTGACGGGAACAGCTGGAGATGACAGATCAATGGTTCAATACTCTCAACAGCATGTCACTGATGTGACAGCAAATGTTATTCTAATCAAGCCATAATCATAGTCAAATTACACGGCTACATTCTCAGGAGGGGAGGGAGAGAAAGGCAGCAGGAAGGGGTCAGAGGTCAGGAATTAAGGTCACTCAACCTACCTCCAGCACTTGCTGCAGGCTTGGCTGACCATCCACCATGGCTTGAATAATCCCGGTGAGCTGAAAGGAAAGAGAAATAGCCAATGTGTGGAAAACCAGGGTGTAGGGCCTCAAGGCTAAACTGGACCTTTTCCTTTTTGTTCTTCTCCTTCTGCTGTAAAGGGCTCTGATCTGGCACTGCTTTAGGTTCAGTGCCCAACTAGAAGCCTTGGGAATAAAGTCCCAGGACCCAGGACACAATGTGAGCTGCTCCCATGAAATCCTGCCCTGACATAGATGTACACATACATATGCAGACCACAAGGTGTATTCTCACACCTGCTTCAGCTTTCATTTTGCAAACAAATTGATGTTACACATCTTTTGTATTCAACAGGTTCCATAACTTCCTGCAATTACAGTCTCAAATTCAGCTCCTAACTTCACAGAAGTTCTTGTAAAACTTGGGGAGTGCTCACACAGGACAGACACACTTGGCTTCAAGTCTGTCCCCTTCTCTGAGCCTCGATGTCCAGCACTGCCCTCTGCCACACTCTCCCTAACACCTTCCCTAACATCCACGAAGTCCCACAGGCACCTACATTTCACCCCGCACATGTGGGCCCTCAATATGAACCAGCCAAGCAAGAAACGGAGTCACCTTTAACTGACAGGGAAACTAAGACAAAAAGGCCCTATGTTCAGCACATGGCCTAGAGAATTTCTGACTCAGGCCTACACTCCAGTCCTAGGTCAGGACTGGGTTCAAACAAGCTTGTTGTTTTGCTTTTAGTTTAGTTTTAAGTAAAAATATCCCTCAGGTACAGACTAGAGATAGATTGCCTACAAGGATCTGAGGGCATGAGGCTCCCATGTCCTGGACATCAATGAGAAATCACCACCCCCAGCATGTCCCTGGCTACTTCCAGAAAGAGCAGTATCTCAGGCTTGCTTGGAAACTTCTTTTTTTTAAAGTGTGCTGGGTGGGGGGGAGATTAAACTCCAATTAAACTATAATTACACTTAATGAATACCAAATACCCAACACACAGAAATCGCTGGCTCTAAGAGGGAAGGTTATTTTCTCATGGCGACTTACATGGAATGGTAATATACACCTTTTAGGGAAGAAATTTTCATTTTAAAAATGCTGAGCTCCTCTAGGTGGGTTTCTGTAGTTCATCAAATCATTATTAGGTGGTATTTTAAGGAAGTGTAAGGACACAGCCACTCTATTTTATATTCCAGAAACTGTTTTTATATTAATCTGTATTTTAATTGGGTAACAGCTGCTGCCTACAGACTTCCCATGGTCTAAAAGGAAAATAAATTAGAAAGATTAACTACACTGTTGTTTTGCAAAGCTTTAACCCACAGCATGCCCACCCGGCTGGCACCTCCACACCCTTTCCTTGCTTGGAAGACCAAAGAACTGCCCAGTAGAGGGAGGGCCTGAGTCAAAGTGAAGAAAAGATGGTCCGCTAAGGGCTGGGGGGCTGGGAGTGGGGAAGTGCCCTTGGTCAGCAGCTTCAATAATCTTGGAGTACAAAGGACTCCACCTTTTATTTAGTCAACAACTATTCATAGAGAGCCTACTATGGGCTGGGCTGCATTATAGGAACCAGGAATCTGGCAGTGAAGAAAAATGTAAAAACTCTGCCCTCATGAAATGTGTGTTCTCTGCAGCCCCCTCCTAGGCCTAGCCCCAACTAGTAATCAGAGCCTGTACGCCTTCCAGGGCCACAAAGTGAGCAGGCAGTTGCCCTATGTTTTGCCTTGGGCATGAAGGGGCCAAAGAGAGTCAGGAGGAGGCCCCAGATTAGTGACAGACACCCACAGGCACACCACTGCCTGTTCTGGCCCAGCTTCTGTCCTGCTAAGCCTGGGGCTTAGATACATCTTCAAGCTTGGAGATGGGGCTTCGGATCAGGACCATCCTGGAAAAGGGGGACCACAGCTACTCTCACTTCTTAGGAAGCTCTAGGGTTGAAATGTCAGTCTTGTGTCTGGTCTGAGTTTCAGGAGGCAAGATTAGGTCCACTCCTTCCTTTGGCTCCCACCAAGGGTCACTCAGATGAGCTGAATGCCAAGGGCTTCAAGAAAGTCTCACTCACACAGGAAACCAATGTGCCCTTGCCAAGAACTCTCGGTTCCTGGAGGTAAGGCTTAGGTCAGCACCTATATACCCCATAAGCACCTGCCCTGGGCCCCAGTAAAATCACTGATGTGGGGCAAGAAAATCACTACACCAAAATGGAAAACCGGGGTGCTGCTCAGGTGTTCTGCTGCAGGATGTCTCACTGCAGACTAAGCCCATCTCTCCCACCTGGAGCAGGGGGAATGGGGCTCCATCATCCTGGGGCTTTCACAAACTCCACTCCAGTGCTCAGTGATCCTAGAATCATCAGCCTGGGAGGAGCCTAGTGAGGTCAGCTCCTTTTCTCACCATGTTCCCAGACAACAGCCATTTTTATCTGAGGCCCAGCAAGGCAAGGCTCATAGCTGAGTTCCTCAAGAATTTGCATTTAGCCCCCAGAGACACAGGGGACTTGAGCTGTTGGCTCAGCTAGACAAGGCTTCTCAGGGAAGGCCTCAGGCCCCTGTATTAATCCCTCCAACAATGGACCACCCCTTATCAGCTCTGCCAAGGCACTGGACAAAGAAGGGATGAAATTAAAGTTAGTTCTGGGCTGTGTGTGGTGGCTTTGCCTGCAATCCCAGCACTTTGGGAGGCTAAGGCAGGAGGACTGCTTGAGCCCAACAGTTTGAGAACAGCCTGGGCAACATAAAAAAAAAAAAAGTTGGGGTCTCTTTAAGTGAAAATTACCTGATACTAACAACCTAAAAGACACCTGTAAGGCTTATACAAGGTGCCATGAAGGAACTTGACAATTTTATCAAATTAATACTGGGAAGTTCTATCTTAGGCCTAACTTAAATCCTTCATGTTATAGTTTAAGCCATGTCCCACTTGGGTTAACATGTGTTTGTAAAAAGCTTTTACATCCTCACAACGAAAGGTACTAGAGCAAAGCCAAGTATTATTAAGCTGAGAACCAGGGCTCACAGGCTAAACAGAGCTCAGAGACCTTAGCCACTTAAAGCAGGAGAGGTGAGAGGAAGAATTAATGTGTGCTCTGTGGCTCCTTTCACTGAGGGATTACAGATTAACTCCCACTTCTCCAGACTCAGAAACCACAAGGCAAGGGGCTTTTGACCCTGACTGATAACATGGCTGGTTACTGAGATCCCCTACCCTCACAAGGGCTTTGTCCAGGAGTGAGCTGGCTTCATCATAAACACTAGCAACTCCAGGAAGCAGCCCAGGAAACTCAGTGCCAATAGCATGTCAGCATCCAGCGCTTTCTCCTTTCACAGTTTATCTCCAACACAATCGTATTCTGACACCAAGACAGTTTGTTGATTACATAAGCACTTGCCTCTGGTGTGCAATCTGATAATCAGACCCACTCTTTCTCCTCAGACAAAGAGACCAATAAATCTCACCCTTTATAAGTACAGGTGCAAGACAAAGCCCTTTACTGGCATTTAGCAAAATGATATTTCTCTATAGTTTTTTTCATGACAACAACAAAAAGAAGACATGGCTAGGGACTGTGCAGCAGCCCAGCTGCTAGAGACAGAGATTTGATGAGCTGGAGCAGATTCTAGAAGTCACAGGGAAAGGGCTTGGGAAGGAATGAAACATATCCCATCCTATCTCTGTCAGAACCATGTCTCCAGGCTATCAACTAAAACTAAGAAAGGACCTTAAGAAGAGTACTAACACATTCCTAACATGAAGCAGTAAGAGTCTCTCTGTGTATGCTAGGGACTCACTCAAAGTGGAATCCTTCTTCCTACTGTACAGCACTGAGCCTGCTTCTCTCCCCACACAAGCATGTGCCCATGTGTGTGCACGTGTCATAGCATGTGCAGGCAGACACACACACACACACACACACACACACACACACACACACACAGAGAGAGGCTGGGGTTCTTAAGAACTTCTGGTGCACAAGAGAGAAAATCCTGCCAAAACAACTACTTAAGTATAATCTGGATGCTTGGGGTTGTTCCTCACACTTACTAACGAGAGATTTTCTCTAGTTGGAATGACCTCCACCCCTACCCCCAAAAGGCAGCAACTGCCAGGTCGGATGAGGTCTCAGAACGACAGCCCCCATTCTGTGTCTATGCCTGTTGGAGATACAATTCCATCTGGTATGGAGACAGAGCAATATTTACATGATTTGAGGTTTCCAACAAGACTTTACTTACTCAAAATAACAAGTCAGCAGTACAGCGGTTTTGGGGGGAGACAGAAAATAACTCCTTGACAATATTCATTCGTTTGAGGAACACATATCAAGTGTTTACTTGGTAGCAGACCCTAATGATGGGACAAAGATGAATCAGGTCTAGTTTCTGCCCTGAAGGAACTTATAGTCTAGTGAAGAAACAGATAAATAATTATAGCATAAAGTATCTGATCAGTTCTGTGTTGGGGTAAGCACAACTCAATCTGGGGATCAGGGAAAGTGACCCTAAGCAGAATCCTGGAGGTCAGGCAGTAGTTGGCGAGGAGAGTGGGAACCCTGTGCAGGCAAGGACCATCAAGTGAAAAGACAGACTGTAAGAGGGCAACCTCTGGGTGAGGGGAGCTAGGTGGGAGATGAAGCAGGGAGATATAAGGCTGGCCAAAAAAGAAGGGACAAGATCATGGAGAGTTTTAAGCTGCAGAAACCTGAGACAAAATGGCAGACCCAGTGCCTACAGAACAACCACATTTTCACTTTTAGAACAGGCTTCATAATAAGGATCCCAATCACCACTCCTACTCCCCTCCAAATTATGTACGTGCATCCTTTGGTGAAGCTTTCCAGAGTGAAGAACCTGTTCATCATAGCCTCACAATCCCTCCTCCCATCCCCAGAAAAAAGTAGCAGCAGTAGCCTTACTCTAGAAGAAGTCCCTCTTCTGACACTCTCAAAGCATCCCCTCCTGCCCAGGGTCCAGTTCCAGCAGAATTCTGTACTATTCCTAAATGTTACCTATTCCTAAATTCTGTTACCTATTGCTAAATGTTACCTATTTAGGAATAGGTAACAAACTTTTCACAATTTGGGCCTGCCTGTCTATGCAAGGACAAGAGGACATTAGCCTTTCAGGCCAGTGGAGGGCTCAGGAAAATGGCTGGCTAAAGGAAGTCATTCCTTCCCTTCCCATAAGAAAGGGAATTTCATCAACATTAAAATGATGATTTTTCAAAAGGGGCAGAAAAGTCAGATTAGCGCCCCCTGGTGGTATAGGTAAATCCCAGGGAAAAGGGGAAAACACAGTAGAGAAAAAGAGAACCAGAACCCAACATCATTAGTTGGAATAACAAAAGGCTTAAGAAGCTAGGCACCTTACCAGATGGATGCCTGCAACAAAAGGCCTACCTGGGTCAGCTGACAAACACTGGTGTCGAATTCAGGAGCAACCCTCGAGACCTCATATCTGAGCTAAGTCAGTCTCAGGGCCCATGGAGCCCTCCCACCAGGGTCAGGCAACCTTGTCCCCAGCCTCCTCACCAAGGGGATTATTTGGGAGATTACAATTTGAGAACCCCTTTCCACCAATTTCATTCACATGTAGAAGATGGATCTCTAAATGAAGGCACAAAGTCTCTAACATACCTCAACCCCAGACTCTTAAAAGATTCTCATCACCCCTGCTACTACACATTCTTAACCCCTGATTGCACCACAACCTGTGGGCCACCACTGAGTGCATTACATGCCATGTCACAGGGAAACAGCCACAGAAGGCTTTACACAGTCCTGGGAGTCAGAACTTGCAGGGGCTCCTCCCCGCTGCCAATAGCTCTTTTGAGCCTCCAGCAAGCATCAAAATCTCAGGCCTAGTTTCACAATCTGTAAAATGGGATCAATACTAACCTGCTGACAAGGAGGCCGAGTATAGCACCCACTTAGGAAAAGGACATTTCAGCCGTGGCCAGCCAGGCCCTCATGCTTTGCTCAGACCGCTCTTCTCTTCCCTTGGTGACGGATGTACCTCCAACAAACTGAGCCTATGCTTCACACAGGGCCACTTTACGGGAGGACAGAGTAACAATGCCAGAAAGCTAAGACAGCCTGAACATAACCTTGCCTTCCAAGTGGCTAAAATCTTTACCTCTTGCCAAGGGGCCCTAAGGGAAATGGAACTTGAAAGAACCTGAACCCTGGAGTACCATTCTGTTCCTGGTCTCCAAGTGCCAGTCTCCAGGAAGGGATGCTGGGGAAGCAGAGGTAGACTGAGCCACTGCTCTCCCTGGGTCCCCAGTCACAACAGTGGCCTGAGTGAGTGGCAGACTTTACCAAACCTAACTGCTAGGTCCAGTGTGTACTTGCCTTAGGCACTGTTAAGCCCCATGCTCACCCTAAGTGGCCTATATAGAGCACGAAGGATTCCAAAATTCCCCTCCCAGCAGCCCTTGCTGCCCACTTCCAGGGCCCTTACCTCTGTACAGAAGGGGGTGAGCTGTGGGTGGACTACAGGCTGGACATACATGTGAAAGGTAGACTCAATCTCCATGGTCCGGCCATTTAGCTTCAGGATGGGGAACTCAATGATTTCCTAGAGTGCCAAAGATAGAGAAAAGGAAAAATAAGTTACTGTAATCGACCATTTCCAACAATACCTGCAAGTCAAGAAAGAATGAGTGTTTTGGGTTCATTAGCTCCTACCAGGCCAAACCCAAGGCTGAGTGAGACAGTGCCAGCACAGTTACAATCCTAACCCTCCCACTGCTAATATCCTCATAGGTTCCAGGGACTGGACACAGCTCTCATCCCCATTGTTTCTGGAAACGAGAAGGAAGACAGGGGTGTCATCTTCCCCAGGTTCTCCAACTGGTTCTCTAGCAGAGGCTTGCTCACTTGAGCCCCTACGAATAGGCCCTTCTTTCTCTTGCCCAGGCCCCTGTCCAGAAATGGGTCTGATCTCCTGCCATATAGACAACCAGCTATCAGACCAGTGCATAGAGTACCTAGTATGAAGTTTGAACCCAGCTGGTATGTTTCTTCACTAGTTCTTATGTAAAAAAAAAAAAAAAAAAAAAAAAAAAAAAAAAAAAAAAAAAAAAAAAAAAAGGTAAAAAATAAAGCCAAAGGGGGTCCCAAAGAGAAGGAGAAAAGTGAGTAAGAGTAATAGAAGCTAGCACCTCCCACCTTTCTTTCAGGCAGTACACACTCCCCCTGCACCACCAGCCCAATCGCTTAGCCAGCCCTTCCCAGTCCACTGAAACATAATGGAAGAGAAGGAGGAGGAGTGACAATTTGTTTGGTGTCTCTAAGATTAATTTGTCTCCGCTATTTAATAGAGATGCACAGCACCAAGGTCCTGGTGTGCAAACAGGCTTGCAGAACGCTGGCTGTGCAGCACGCCACATATATCGCTCCTGGGAAGGGAGGAATATACCAGAGTGGGGAGAGGCCAGGAGAGAGCACATGCATACCAGGGAGAAGAGGGAAAGCAAGGAGAGAGAATAAAAAAAATTATTGCTTTTTAATATTCAAAAACAGTTTGCAAAATTTAATCAAAGCAGAGGAAAAGCTAACATTTTTACCACTTTGACATTTTTATTAGCACTTTCATAAATTTTTAAAACATGAATGGAATTAGTTTACAACACAAAAAAAAACTGCCCTGAAAACATCTGGAGGAGACAAATAGGAAATATAAAAAATAAATAAATAAAAGCAAATTTCTCTGCGTAAAATTAGCATGTGGAAAGGGCCTCCACTGCAGAAAAAGGGGGCTCTGCCCATTCAGTGGCCCCAATAGTCAGCTCCAGCAGCACTCCTTCCCCAGGTCCTTCATTCTCGAGAAGACCTTTCCAGTATCATTAAAATCACAGTAAACTGGTTCTCTCCAGAGACAGCCTGGAGAAGCAACACGAAACTGATAACACCTGACTGCATTTAGGAAATGAATGGGTAGGAAAATGGGAAAAATGATCAACCTCCTTGATGTCCCAGGAAAGCCAGGTATCCTCCCCGCAAAACATACCCACTAATATTGGGCTTGTTTTTAAAGCATCTACTTCAATCCAACACAAAACAGCAGGACTGAAAAACAAATCAAGTCAGTCAGATTTCATGCCAGAGAGATTCAAAGATTCTGGTTGCCTTGTTTCTGTGGGCTGATCTCCAAAGATGAGGAAGCTGACAGGAGCTTATTCCCAGAGGTAGAAATGGCAAAATGGTTGCAAGGCTGAGGCAGAGGGGAGAGAGGGGAAGCCCAGGCTGCTGCTTAGACCAGGGTGATACCTCTCCTCCCAATATGAAGAGAGGAGAACACTCATTCCCAATTCCATGGACCTTCTGTTCCCCATGAACCATTACATACAGAGTAAATGGGGCTTTTGGTACTGAACAACAAAATTGAACACACACCAAAAAAATTACACATTGGTCCCCCTGCAAAATCAGGTATCCACGATTTCCAAGAGCCAACTCTGAGGTGTGGCCCGTGTGTCAGGCCCATCTGACTCCTGATTTTCTGATGTGTCCTTCCTCTCCCCCTAAGTAGAAGAAACACTTCCCCAACAGAAAGAGCTCTATAGCCTGGTGAGTTTGGCTGCCCTGGTGTCTAAGGAAACAAATATAGCCAGCTCCTCACTAACAATGTTAGCTGGGCCCACAATGAAATTTAACCTGTGACACAACTGTACTTTTCATTTAAACTTTCATTTGGAGAGCAGCAGTGTTTGGAGACCTACAGTTTGTCCTGCTAATCAAGACAAGTGTTGGGACCTTTAAGGATGCCATTCATCTTTGGCTTTTTATTAAATTCAATTTTCTTAAGCCCATGATACATTATGAAATTAGGAGTTGACATTCCTCTGGAAATAAAAATATCTATCAAACATAAATAGAAAAAACCCTCTATTACCAAGAATTTATGGCTTAAAGTTGATCTCTTTCCACTTTTTAACAAGCACATGGTTTGTTTTAGATATCTGAAATGCTATTATAGATCTAGGATTTCATTAGTATTTATTATAAAATAGTATGTGCTTCAGCTTCCACGCTGACCAGCACCAAGTCAGCATCCCCAGCAGACTCTCTGGAAATTTGGCCTTTGAGTTTCCCCGCTGCAGCAAATAACAGCAAATACTGCAGCTCAGTATTCAAACTTTCCTGATGCTAGCTTCCTCACCCATAGGGAAATGGGGCCAACTAAGTGCTGAAACTCAGTGCCATGCTCCCAGAGAGGAAGAACAAGCCAGACTCGGATCTACGCAAAA